GACCTCCAAAGACCTTTTTAAAACCGAGTCCCAGCCGTGTGAAGCACTCGTCTTTTAGCATCATGGGAATCCGTGCCAAGGGATCGCGTGTGCTTTTTCTTCGCGAAGCCGAATTCCTTCCACTCCTGATTCAGAGCGTCCGCCAACCCGGGGTTGGAGGCAACGAAGTGAGTCTTGCTGGCCGCCAACACCAGCTCCAAACGCCTGTACCCAGAGGCAAGAAGGCGTCCAGCGCCTCCTAGTTGTGCAGCGACAAAGCGAGACGATCCTAGGCACTGCGCATGTACATCATCGACTACATTCCTGACTAGCACAACTGGGAACTTATCTGCTATAGAGACCATGAGCCTGTGAAGTAGGACCTTGACTAGGGAGGTAGCCAGGGAGCATCCAGCCAGAACCGTTCCGTTAGCTTTAAACACCGACGAGATTGCATCCATGAGCGTGAGGCACCTGGGCCCCGAATACAAGCTACAAGCTACGTGCATGAGCTTGAGGTTGATATCAACTGCCACAGCTTCTTCGAATAGCCGATAGTGCGAAATACGTTCGTAGAACTTCGAAAGGTCAGTGAAGAGCGTGCCTGAGTCGAAGTCGATTGTTTTAGCATAAGGTGACATGATATTATGTGCCCAACCTGCTGTGTCACACTCCTTAGTAGAACAGCCCCAAAACGCAGATATCTGGTGAGATTATTCCCAAGACCTGGCCAGGCTCTGACGTAGACGGGCCCAGGTACGCCCGAGGGAGATGATCGGAGCCAGAGGTCTGAAGTCAGGGGACTCGGGCCTACCCGTGAACACGATCATGGTCGGCCATTCATCCGAAAGGTAAGGCTTCTCTTCCCAGAGGATCAAGACATCCAAAAGCCGATTCCGAAAATCGTCACTCAAAAGGAGCCATGACCTCGGATTGATGCAATCAATACCAAGGCCGACATTATGCCGAAAGCGTGTTAGGGCTGCATCTAACATGTCGAGGCTAGGCTGAGGGAGCGCAGCGTTCTGGGCGGCAGCTCTCTGAACATATGTCAGGCGCGTCTTGGCATCGCGCCACGTCGCGCCCTAGGAGTCGCACAGGCTGTCGACAGCAGAATCACCTATAAGGGGCACACCTGTGGCGTCCTCTGGCGGTCGCAGCTGCTGCTTATCCTTCGCAAACCTGTGTGCAGTTTTTCCTCCTCCTCCTACAGCTTCCTTAGCCCACCTCTGCCACTTCTGCCACCTAACCCTTCCTTCTTTGATCAAAACCTTGTCCGCTACCTCGACCGCCAGCTCAGACAAACATTTAAACTCGTCGCCGCCACGAGCAGCCACTGCGAAGTGGTCATCTAAGCAGCACAGGCCAAGGGTAAGGTCGGGGGTGAGATCGTTTTTGTCTAACTTCCCCAGAATGTTCAGGAGGTTCTGGCAGAAATCAGGGGGGTAGTCATCAGGGTGGTCCCAGAAACTTCGAAGGCGCACGATGGTAGACCGAAAGGTACGCCAAGAGCGGGCCTGAGGGGTAGAGTGCGCATCCCACTGCCTGTTGAGGGCCTCCTTAAATTTGACCTTCTTCCTCTGGAAGCCTCGAGATCTCCCGGTGTACTGGGGCCTGTCGGGGCCGAAGATATCAAACTGGTCACGCAAGTTGTTTTCCATGTTATCTAACCACTGGCACCAAATAGAGTCTAGGTCGCTGGAGGAATCCAAATCACCCGTGCTCCAACTCCAGGTGGCTTCAGACAGTGCTCTCACTTATCCGATACGGGGCTTGGTGGGGAAGGCCTTCCAAGTAACCCTGACATGCATAACCTGGTTCAGGGTGAAATTCCGAAGCTCCGTTAAGACGGGAACGTGAGGTGACGAAGGTCCAGCGAACAGGGCGGAGACCGAGGTGATAGCAGCTGCCGCACCTCTGGACACAATGAAATAGTCCAAGGTCTGCTTGTGACAGGTCGGGGCCTTGGGCGCAATGATTGTGCCACCTACAAGCGTACGCCAGCCGAGCAGCCCAGGGTCCGAGGCATCAATGTTGAGGTCGCCTCCATGGGCCCAAGGGGTCTTAAGCTGTTCCAGGAACTTCCCAAGGTCCTCCAAGAGCTGGATGTTTAGGCCAGTGCACCCAATTCCAGTATAGCCATACATTGAGACCCAGTGCATTCCCCCAGGTACGACAGCTTGGGCGTGGGTGACGACAATCCTCCCACGTCCGACAGGCCCCACCCCGAGCTGCTCATACGAAAGGTGTCTGCTCGCAATATGACGTCGGACAGCGACAGCAACACCTGCCGAATTTGCTAGTTGGTGGTCTCCTGTGAGAACAACAGCAGGATCACGATGGGAGTTGAGGCCTCGAAAACCTGCCCAAGAAGTCGCCGAAGAAACAGGGTCTCCTGCCAATAGACGCGTCCCCTGGACAGCAACGAAGTCAGGAACCTCCCCCATGATATGTATCCATTCCCAGACGTCCTGGAACCCGTTCCAGTTGTTAGGGTTGGTCGTGAAAAATAGCCAAACTTTGTCTTTGCTTTTGTGGGCCTTGGGACGCTGGCCTCTCCCAACACTCCTGCCTGCAGGATGAGGCGACGGGTCGGGAGCAGCATTAGCACCTGGCGGAGCAGCCTGGTGCCACGCCGGCCGTGGCAAGGGGCCTGCAGCCGAGCTAGCAGGGTTCAACGTGCCCGCAGAGGAAGCCAACGTAGACGATGCCGTCGTAGGAGCAGTAGTCGCACCCGTCGATGAAGGCGAACCAGCAGACCCAGTCAGTGCACCCGAAGCCGTCGCAGCTGAAGTACCAGCCGAACTGGAGGACGCAGTAGGTGCTGCTGCTGGTCGGCGTGGAGCGCGGCGTGATTGCCCAGGTAGTGGGCCAAAAGGTGGCGTTGGCCCCTGACGGTGGTGGCTTGCGAACCAGCTCCTAAAGGATTTCCATTCATAGTTGTGCATACCAGCAGCCGCATACTGCTGTTTGCTAGTTAACTTGCGAAACACCATCGAAGGAAACTCTGACGACTACGCACACCTTTATGCCAAGCACGAACACATATCTCATGCGCCAGTTGCCAAGGCGTCTGCATACGTGCGCGCAAGGTATGCGCAAACCTCGGATGGGCAAGCTCTTGCGCCAAAAACGCCTCGCACACATCATGAAATTCTGCCTCATCATCTGGCTGCAGTCCTTGATGCGGGTTGTTGACCCATCGCTGGGCCCACGCTCTGGCCTGTCGTCCCAAGCAGGGCGCAGGCGCGAAGGTTCGAGGCCCAGCTGCAGTCATGCGCGAATCTGGCAAACCTGCCAACCCGCCTCCCCCATGCGCTGTTGCCCTCGCCTCCTGTGGAGAGGGTGCCCCAGGGGAAGGGCAGGCTGGTGGCGACGTATAGCGCTCTGACGCCCAGGTCGAAGACCCAGTAGACGAGGCGGTAGGTCCACTGGTGGATTTTGAGCGGGAGGACCAGGGGATGGCGGGGGAGGACCAGGAGCAGACGTAGGATGAGCGGGAGGACCAGGGGAAGGCGGGGGAGGGGAAAAGAGGCGGCGACAACGAGGAGGCACTCCGATCCAGAAATGTGGCCCGCGTCGCGGCGAGAGGACGGAAGCAAAGCGGCGATTTTGAATTGAGGCCAACGCTGCAGCGGAGACACCATTTTGATGAACCCGGCGCGAGCCCGATTGGTGGAGAACACTTCCTATTGCACGGGCGAGTTGCGTGACATTGCTTGACATTGCTTGCCGAATTGCTTGACATCTTGCTTTGCATGATTGTGAACATCCAGCTGTGCGTTGAGTTGCATGGCACTGTTGAGCACTGCGTAGCGAGGCAACAAGGAACCAAGACCAAGGACGACCAGGGAAACCACGAAACCAAGCCCAAGGAATCGAAGTAACAAGGCCAAGGAACCAGATAAACAAACAACAACGAACCGAAGAACCATGACTAAAGGACCCAAGCAAGGCCCTGTGAGGAAACAAAGCCCCAGAACCCTGGGGAACGCCCAAGAAACCAAGTCCAAAAAACCCGGGCAACGCCTTGCAGGGAACCCGAACCGACGAATCCCAGGGCCCCCCCTCGTTACACAACAACACCGAAGAACCCTGGGGAACCAGGCGACGACCAGGACCAGCATCCACCAGGTTCTGAACAAACAAATGAATACCCCTAAGGCAAAGCCAAAATTGTGGAACAACTTGTACCGAGGACAAAGCTACAGAGGGAACACCAGTCTGGAAACTCAAACAAAATCCGACCGACACAATATGAACAATCACTGTTTGACATCTCGTTGAATTTGGGGCACACTCCGCGATGTCCGAATCCACCTAGAACTGCTCACAGACTATCGAATACACAGCATTTATGCAAGAACAGGGACACTAATTAACTGATCAACGCGCCCTCGCAAATTTCAGAGAGTTGAGGGCCCGATGGTTGGGGGGGTCTCCTGCTTGATAACTCCTGCGGGCGTCAACGAACTCGGACAGCGGAGGCTGTGTTTTCCCCACTAATAATAGAAGTCTCTCCAAATTACGTATGTATGGTGGTGAGACAGATGGCAAGAATGCGCATTACAAACCATGAACATCTCGGTCCGTATTGTTCCCACTGGCGTCCACTCCTGCCATGCGATTTCCAATGCTTGTGGAGACTGTCAGCCCACGTCTTGAATACATTCTCGTATATGCCGACGCCCCGTCGCGCGTTGTTGTCGAAGACAACCTTACTCGAAGGCCGGAGAGCTTCTTGGATTGAAAGGCCAATTCGCGCATCCGCAGCATCGTTACTGTAATCCCAGTCCCCGTCCCAGTCCCTCATGAATGCGAAGTGCTTGTTCCCCCCGACTTGTGTACCGTTGGGCCCCAAAACAACTGTCACGCGAGGCACATAGAAGGAGAAAGCGATGATACGGCAGTGCAAACTTGTGGAAATCAAAAGCGTTGCCCTGGATATTAAAGCACTTATGTCCCAAATGTTGAGCCCGTCGAATACGGTCACAGCAATTGAAGAGTCTGTTTTTTCAAGCCTGGACTTCATAGCCTCATACGGCTTCAGACCATCGTGGCCAGGCGCAGCGCCTGCTCGGAACATGACGATGCTGAAGTTGTTCGTTCTCGCCGCTGCCAAAATAGCATCAACGAATCCATCGTCAAAGTGAACTCTCGAGTTGAACTGCCAAGCGAAATATCTCCCCATTGGTAGGCCGTTTGTGCGAAGAGATATGGATTCGCCAAACAAAATGTTGATCATGATCACGCTGTCTGGGGCCGCCAGGAAGTCTTCGTAGCCAGCCCGATGAAGATTTTGGCGGAGCGTGCAATGGTCAAACCAGCTCTGATTGATTCTTGAGGTGCCTGGACCTCCAACTGTGTTGGCGATGAACAAGCCAGGTTTGGCAAACTTGTCCTTGGGAAGCAAGTAGGCCAGACTGTGGCCTCTGTGCATGAAGTCGTCCGCATTGCAAGCTTTGAAACCACGTCCGAACATGCCCATCGCAATGTTGAGCGAGATGTCCTGGAGAGTTTCCCCCCCACAAAAGATCACATCGAGAGAGCCATTGTACATGTTGGAGAACAAAGAGCCAACGCCGATGACAAGATGACCGCCATACGCCCGCAGATCGGCGCCTGCAACGTCAGCATGCAAGAAATCGTCGGGACAGAAACCGTAGCGTCTTTGCAGCATCGTTTCAACGATCCACGGCATCAGCATATCACCGAAATTGTGCCGACCCATAGCGCCATACAAAAGCACCTTGCGACCATGCGGAATCACTTCAGTGCACCCTGAGCTGTTATACTGGCTCGCGCCATGCAATGCACTCTCCCTGGGGCCTGTGCACCCAGCACCTGGGACTCCTTCGCTCTGCATCGATGAAAACGGGTGCGCAATGGTCCGCGAGACCCTGATACTATCTGCGAATATATACGCGCGAATGGAACCATCACGCGACGAGCATGCGAACGAAACAACAACAGCAATGAAGAGCAACCACAATGGAACAACGGGGAACAATATGCGTTCCACCATTCGTCTACTGTTCCGACCGGTTCGTTTGCGCAGGTCTGGGGTGCTCGGCAAACGAGCGACGATAGCCTCTTGGCCCGAAATGGCCACTTGAGCCAAAATGGCTTGAGTACGGAAACTCGGACAGCGGAGGATGGCCTGGCCGCCCTCTCCCCGACCCGCTCTCGCCAGCGCCCTGGCAGGAGCTCTGGGTCGACCTCGGCTGCCCTAACCTCCTCTTCAGGCCCTCCACCTCCCCTCACAGTGCAGCAGCACAACACAGAGGAGCGAAACGATCGTCCACCCTCATTCCACGCTGTCCCTCCCTCTCACGCTCCCACTCGCTATGCTGCTGCTGGGGTCCCAGATTTGGTGCGGCGGCAGACCGTTCCAGACCTCGGAACCCACAGCGACCCCACCGCACGGCCCGCCGCCGCGCCGTTTTGGGACCCCGGATGCCCCGGTCGCCCAGACGTCCTCGGAGCACGATCCGAGTCCCAGAACCAGTCGGTCATTCCGAATCCCCTCTAACTCACCACGCGGTGTCGACACCACACCGTTTAAACACATGTCGTGCTGCGAGGGGTACCCTCCCACTCCCCTCCCTGAGGCGCTTGTGGCTGTTATGGGGGGCGGAGGGAGCGCGAGCTGTCAGGGCGCCCAAGACAGCCCAAGATGGCTCCAAGAGAGCCTCCGATGCTCCAAGATGGCCCCCAAGCCGAACATGGTTCAATATAGCTGCAGACGAACATCCAAGAGGCCCGACAAGGTCCACAAGACGGTTCCAAGTACTCTCAAAGTCCCTCGGGATCCCCTCAAGAGACCAACATCCTTCAAACACATAGGAAAACACATGATGTTTGCCTGCTCGCCTTTTCGCTTGCGAAGCGTCTTTAATGCTTCACGAGAACCCCCAGATGGCCCAAGAGAGGCCCAAGAAGGGGCCACAGAACTCCCCATACGGCCCAAAGAGCGCCCCAAGAGGATCCCAGAGTGGGGAGGCACATCAGGGCCTCCCCATTTTGACCGATGGCCCCAGGACGCCCTCCACCAGGGCTCCCAAGAGTGAGTGCCTCAATAGAGCCCCAAGAGGGCCCCAAGAGTCCCCACAAGAGCCCAAAGAGGGCCCCGAGAGAGCCCTAAGAGGACCCCAATAGGGCAGCGAGAAAGCCCAAAGAGGAACCCAAGAGAGCCTCAAGAGGACCACCTGATGGCTGCCAGAGTCCTCGTCACCATCATCATCGCACATCCCGAGGCACCAGAGGCAATCCACGAGTCACACTAAGAATAACATTGCTGCAGCAAGTCTACCTCTGAAGGTGCAGAGGGCAAAAGAAGAGAATTACACAACCCTATTTGGCTGGTCTTCCTCAAGGTGCCTCTTGAGGGCTAGTGGTTTTGCTTCTTCGGCTTTATCTGTAACTGCTGAGTCAAAACCCTCAACAGAGAGACCGAAGGAAACAGCAACGTGTTCCTTTTCCCACCACTCCCCCCACACCGCCACATTAGGGACTGAAAAATCAGCCGTGGGCTTACGCCAGCATAGCACCGCGGTTTTGGGAGCAAGCATCGCTGCGATCGCCTGCGGAGTTGGGGCCCTCCAAGCCCCCACAGTCCAACCACTGCATTGGCGAGGCCCGCAGGGAAATAATAATTTACTGGCACGGTTGCGCTGTTTGCGCAGAGTCTCGGAGGGTGGCGACACGTTGCATGGTTTGGCAAGGCTCAGAACGGCCTCCCAGGCATACCCACCACAGGCAGCACAAACAAGAACCGTGGGGCTCTTAGGCGGAGCGGGCGGCAGCCCAGAGGTAACAAAAACCTCAGCTTGCCTAAGCGCATGTCCTTGCAATGCTGCAAGGATGCTTAGCTCTTCTGATACTTCAGGGGCGACAATGGGCCTGCCTTCGTAACGCTTAGTCGAATTCCCTGGAGGACTGCTAGAGAGGGGAGACCCACCCGCCTCCCCAGAGGTCGACCGAGGAGAGATGGGGGGGGCGTCGTAGTCTTCGCGCTCGGCTATCAAAACCTCTTGGATAGCAGCCCAGCGCGCAAATTCTTTGACAGTATCTGCCAGGGCAGCAAGGGCATGCATACAATCAGAAGTGTCAGGATGCTGGCTAACTCCACGCCCCGCATACACATCAGCAGCACGATTACCATTCCACTCATACTCAGAGATGCGCCCCTCGGCAACAGCTGAGAAGGGAAGGTGGGCCTTGACCTTCACAGCACTAATGGACGGCAGCTTCCTGTGGAATTCCCCCCGCAAATGGCATCGAGAATGCCGAACAGAGGTGGGCGAGATCTTGTCATTAACAGCATCTATGGTGCCCTGGCAGTCAATGTGGAAAACCGTTTCTCCTACGACCAATCCACGAGCTCCCTGCAAGACATCAACATCCCCCCCCATCGCGCGCAGTCTGAAAGGGTCCTAGATCCCGAGACACCGCGCCACAGACTGCTGCTGACAGAGAGCCGCCATCGTTGAGCTGGGTTAAAGCCCAGCCCGCTCTGCGGGAGAGGGAGCAGGTGGGGTGAAGGCCAGAACCGTCAGTGAACACATGGCCGGACAGGTGTCCTGAGTCAGGCCGTTTTATCAAAACAATATTGCACTCGCTATCCCACAGTGGCCGGCGTACAACGTCTATGGGCATAGGGAAAATACCACAAGCCGCCTTCTCGAGGTCCTGCACCGACAGCTGCAACACAGACGCGCAGCGGAGCAGTCGCGGGCTACAGTGCTTACCTCGGTCGGCGGCCCAATGTGGGCAAAGGAAACGTCTGTGCCAGAGGGTACCAGGTTTGCACTTACAAGCCTGGCAAAGGTCAGTGTCCGATTTCTCGTGGCGCGCTTGTTTGGCTTGGCACCAGTGTTGCTGAGATATCAAAGAGCGCAAACTAGACTGGTGCCTAGCCGTCCAGGTTCCCGACAGACGCCCCCCCAAGAGCCCAGCCAAAGGCTTCCAGTACATCGGGCGGGTCCAGCCTGGCGACTCTCCCATATTGCTAAGCGCAGCCACATCAGAAACATTACGAGCAGCTCGGTGGGCCATCCAAACAACCTGCGTGGGAGCAAGCTTGGTGAGACAGATTTCTTCCCCAGTGTCAATGATGACGCGGTCGGCCGAGGGGGCGCTCCACCCAAGCTGTTGGACAGTCCGCAGATGCACATGTGCAGGGCTAGCCGCCGAGGCCCACAAGTTGGAGGCCCGTTCCAAATCTCGAGCTGCCGAAACCAAAACAGCCTGCAAAATTCCGAATGCTGGCCTGCCTACCCATACCGCACGCGCCCAGTAGCCTATGACCTGGGAGCGGTAGATGCAGAAGGGGTCCATGACGCGGCCGAGCTTAGTCGTGGCCAGCTTGAGGCCAACCGAGGCGCCCTTTTTATCCACATGCAGGCTGGCAACCGCAGCTCTACGAAGCAGGTGTAGTTGTCTCCCGCTAAGTCCAGACACTCCAGAGCCCCATAGGGCCGTGGCCTGTGGCCCCGCACGCTGAGTGGGTCCGATTTTAGCCCCTGCCTGCTTCAACTTCAACATTTTGAAGGACCTCCAAAGACCTTTTTAAAACCGAGTCCCAGCCGTGTGAAGCACTCGTCTTTTAGCATCATGGGAATCCGTGCCAAGGGATCGCGTGTGCTTTTTTCTTCGCGAAGCCGAATTCCTTCCACTCCTGATTCAGAGCGTCCGCCAACCCGGGGTTGGAGGCAACGAAGTGAGTCTTGCTGGCCGCCAACACCAGCTCCAAACGCCTGTACCCAGAGGCAAGAAGGCGTCCAGCGCCTCCTAGTTGTGCAGCGACAAAGCGAGACGATCCTAGGCACTGCGCATGTACATCATCGACTACATTCCTGACTAGCACAACTGGGAACTTATCTGCTATAGAGACCATGAGCCTGTGAAGTAGGACCTTGACTAGGGAGGTAGCCAGGGAGCATCCAGCCAGAACCGTTCCGTTAGCTTTAAACACCGACGAGATTGCATCCATGAGCGTGAGGCACCTGGGCCCCGAATACAAGCTACAAGCTACGTATATGAGCTTGAGGTTGATATCAACTGCCACAGCTTCTTCGAATAGCCGATAGTGCGAAATACGTTCGTAGAATTTCGAAAGGTCAGTGAAGAGCGTGCCTGAGTCGAAGTCGATTGTCTTAGCATAAGGTGACATGATATTATGTGCCCAACCTGCTGTGTCACACTCCTTAGTAGAACAGCCCCAAAACGCAGATATCTGGTGAGATTATTCCCAAGACCTGGCCAGGCTCTGACGTAGACGGGCCCAGGTACGCCCGAGGGAGATGATCGGAGCCAGAGGTCTGAGGTCAGGGGACTCGGGCTTACCCGTGAACACGATCATGGTCGGCCATTTATCCGAAAGGTAAGGCTTCTCTTCCCAGAGGATCAAGACATCCAAAAGCCGATTCCGAAAATCGTCACTCAAAAGGAGCCATGACCTCGGATTGATGCAATCAATACCAAGGCCGACATTATGCCGAAAGCGTG